TGTCAGGGATGGAGGTGTCTGCTTGCTCCACCAGCCCTACTCTGCTGATTGGACAGTGAACATTTTTGGCAGCTAGATCTAAACTGGGTACAAAGCTTTCCCTTTAGATCAGAAAGCTTTGGGATGAATCCTTGCCAGTTGGGAGGGGCGTCCTGCAGTGCCACCAGAAGTGGCAGCCTGGTTGGACAGGAGGGGAGGTTTTTCTCTTCTCATTTCCAAAGATACATGATTTTATGGAGAGATGTCCTAGAACATCAAGCCTTTCCTGAGGTACCAAGAGGACAGGGATCCACTTTGATATAGTCACCTGCCATTCTGGCCACCCCCACTGACCTTGAGTTTTCTGGTGGAGAGGTGGGGATGTCGCCGACAGCAGCAGCCTTGCCTTAATTTATATCCAGTCTCCCACCCAGAGAAGGTGGAGTGGTGGGCTGGGAGTCCTTCAGGATTAAAGGGACCTGATTGAGTGCTGGTGTGCAGCTGGGTGTGTGTTCTGTTTGTCTCAGTCAGTAACCTGCTGTTTACTTTGTGTTAGCAGTGTGGGAACTTTGGCAGCTCCCCTGTGACCTGCTTGATCTGTCATTGCATCACCTCCAGGGAGCGCTGTTGGATGACAACTGGATCAGGCCCTCCCTCAGTGACTGGAAAATGCCTGCTCAGTCCATGAGGCTGGTTGACTCTGTTCTTAGTAGGGTTTTTAGGGGGTCATGCCCAATGAAGGCTTAAGAGAGAGGGCCCTTGATCTTGCATCTCACACAGTGGTTCATACTACCTCACCCACTCAGGCGAGTTCTGGGAGTCTGGCCTCTGCCCTGCCCCTGCCCCTGCTCCTGGTGGGACTCGGCAGCACTCTGGGCTGTTTCATAAGCAAGTGGTTTTAATGAACTCACAAAGCCTTTTTGGATGTTAGTATTTATTTATTTTTTGTTTTTGTATACATATTACCCAGCATCTCTTTTGGATAAGAGACATCAAGAAAATGAGTTTCTCCCCCAGTAAGTAGCCATATTCCAGTGGCCAGCTTTGGCTAGAGATTTGGGCAACAGGAGAATAACTAAGGGAGAATGTGTCAAGCCTTTTAAACAAGCAGATTGTTTTCTTCCTCTTTAGGTAGTATAGCAGAATAAATCCAAGGAATGGGTAAAAGCTCTAGAAAGCTGGGGCCAGTAAATTCCCAGGCCTTTTGTCTCCCTTTTATCCTGTATGAAGTAGATCGGGGACTGAGATGAGGGGATGAAACTACATGGAGGACCTTTTTTGCACAGTGTCTGGTCCTTCCTAAACTCGGGAAGCCACCTGTCTTTGTCTTTTTTGAGACATACAGACAAACCAAAGCTCCACCCCTGTTCGACCTGCTGTCTTTCTCTCAGCCCTGAGTTGATAAAGCCTCTGAGCTGGAGTGTGTAGCTCTCTGGTAGGATGACCATTAGGTGAGGGGACTTACACTGACCCTTTCACGGTCTATACCTTACTTGTTCCCTGGGGACATTCTCATCAGGAGGCAGTGCTGAGCCTTTTCCTTACTGCCTGGCTTCTCCCCATCTTACTCAAAATGACCATTAGAAATTAAAGACAGAAATGCATAACAGACTACATTCAAGCATCTACTAAGCTGCTCAAGGTTAACTGATCCCTCCCAGACTGTTGGTGAGGACTGGTTTTTGAATGGCTGGTTTGAGGAAATGGTACTTATTGGAACCTAACCAGGTAGCCAAGAGTGGATAAATATGTTGGAGAAACCCTTTTCTTTAACCGTGGGCATCATGGATGCTGGGTGATCTGTATACTTAACCTGAAACTGTGAAGTTTTCCCTTTTACCAGTAAACCAAAAAGCAGATTCTTGAAATTGTTCTTGAAACACTAAAAAATTGCATCCTTGATCTCCCTAAGGTGAGCAGTTGATCAGGGTGGCCCAGTTGGTTGCGGGGTTGATAGCTCATAAGGTACATTGACTAAACCCTGGTCTTTGCGTGTCCTCCATGGTCACACCTGCCTGTAGCTCACCCTGCTCTGAATCGTTTTACTTGAAACACTATATTGTGGCAAAGGGCATTCTAGGATACTGGAGGAAGGTATTGAATTTATTTTGCATTTACAAGTTTTTCAACATTCTTAATTTGATCTTGTTGCCCCCTCTGTCCTGGAGCCCAGGTTAGCACATCTGCCACGTTGCTCTGAAGTTCTATTTGAGCCTTGAATATCCTCTCTTCTCTGTTTTTCTTGTTCTGTACTCAGGACCAGATACCTAATTTATGGGACCCCCTTGTCCACAGATTAGTAAGAATTTTAAGATGGCAATTGCAGAGCATTAAACCAAACATGGGGCTATTCTCAACTTGTTTCCAAAGAGAAAACCATAATGCTTGTGTGGCACACTGGGCTGAACCATAGAGACTGCTGGGGGCCTGAGGTGGGAATCAATATCCCAGCATCCCAGTGACCCACTGATGGCTCGCTGGTGCCACAGATGCAGGGAAGCTCTGCTGAACGCTCGTGTTGGGTCCAGGACTTTAAAACACCATAGTATCCCTGTAGTTCATGGTTAGCTGAGAGGAAGGGGAGTATGTGGGGGGTTCAGACCCAGGTGATCCCTAAGAACGGAAAATGGTAGTTCTCTTTGATTTCCTTCTATTCTGATCTGTCAGTACCCAACCCATGGGTACTGGAACAAATACCTTTGTTCCAGTCAGGTTTTTGCTACTGATGAATTTTCTTCTTCTGGCCTCCTGCTGTGCTCTAGATCCCAGGCTAATCAATTTGAAAAGTGAATTTAAATCCCTTTAGACATAGACACTGAATTTGTTCATATGGGAGTGGGCAGTGTGCAGTGGTGTATGCCTTTCTAGGAGCTCCCACGTGTCCTTCTCCCTAAATCTACACTGAATAAGTCAGAAAGCAGGGTGCAGTGTTCTAATGTGATTACACATCATAAACTTAACATCAGAATGAAAATGAAGCTATTTTGATTTTGATGTTTCTTTAACACCCTTTTCATGTCCAGTCCACCCCCTCCAACTTCTAATAGCTAAAGTCTCTTATGAAACAGAAGAGTTGTTATGTCTAACTCCCTCCATTAAATTAATAAGTACTGACCTCCTAATATTTAAGTGTTTACTATCTATTGCTGTAAAATTTTGTATATTTTGTAAACTTTTTTCCCAAATAGTAGATGTCTAAAATCGTTGTACATCTGATTCTTTTATATTCCATTGTTCAGCACAAAGTGTGGTTTTTATTTAGAATAAAAAAAGGAAATTTAAAATGGGAGCTCTTTTCTTATGTACTGTGAATGTGCTCACACCTCGTGTTCAGAGTATCTGGGCTCATCAGACCTTTTCACAGCACGTTTCTGCTCAGCAGATGCCTGAATTCTTTGAGGTAGCATGTCTTCCTTTCCCGTGACTGGAATTTCTCAGGATTAATGTGATGACCTGTTTTTGGTGGGAAATTAATTCAGACTCACCTTTTCAGGTGGGGCTATCCCCAAGGGGACCTCGTGTCGGCCTAGAGAAAGCAACAGGACTTTGCTGATGTCTAGCTGGGCAGAATTACTACGTGAGGAGATGTGACCACAGGTTGTCTTGCCAGCACTGTTTAATTCATTGTTTCACAGTATGTCTTTGGAGAGAGGCAGCTGGAAAGTCAGAAGAGACGATTCCACAGACTTGGCACAATTTCATTCCACAGACTTGGCACAAGTTCATGAGGGTGATACAAACTTGTTTGGACAGAGGACACAGACCTCTGAAATTTAGGGAGTGATGTGGGCAGTTTGGTCTCAGAGTACATGACAAAGCTCTGGGCTCTGGGTTCCCCCTTGCTGAGAAGAGATAGTTGCAGTTGGCACCAGGAAGAAGTCCCACTCTTCTCTTTTATGCCTAGAATGGCTCTAATGAAGGCAGTCATACTGCCAGGGGAGTAAGTGGCCTTGAGAACATGGCCTCTGAAACCTGAATGCGACAGATAGGAAAAAATTTTTTTTCAGGAATCTTCCATAGCCCACATTGGAGGGGGCAGTGATATAGGCATCAGATCTTGGCTTGGCTTTTATGTGGGGCCATTACGGGGGAAAGAAAGGCTTTGGGGAGAACCAGCAGTTGGTGTAATGGCTATGTCACTGGACTCCCATGTAGTCGACCGTGGTTTGAGTCCCGAACCCGGTGTCTTAAACTCATGCCGGGCGTGTGTGCGTGTGTGCTCAAGATCCCGAGAGGAGAATAGAGGAGAAGGGATTGTGGCAGTGTGGCCATTCCCCCTGGTGGGTGAGTTCTCACTTTCTGTCTCTGTCTGTCTGGCAAGCGCACACACTATAGCAAAAACCTCTCCCCCCCCCCCCAAAAAAAAAAAAAAGGCTTTTGGAAGCTGTTTCTACATTGTTAGGTTAAGCCCTCACTACAGCCTAAGCTGTAATCCAGACTTCTGGTTTGAAAAGCTTAACTCTGGTGCCACTGAGCAGTTGTTTGTAGCTTAGGGCTCTTAGAGGTTTGGGACAGTGAGCAGGGAGATGATAGACACAGGGTTCCCTCAGATTCCTGACAGC